TAAAGATTGTTAAAACAAATTTGCTGTCCCAACCATCAACTGACTTTTAAACGAGAGCTATGTTTTGCGATTGTGTTTAACATGAAATATAAAGCTTTCGTTTTTATTCTGTAGATGTGTACCCAGAAGGATTTTGTTGCTGTCGCAGCGTGTGAAGAAGTTGGATGTGTTGATGATTCACACACTGTGAACGCAGAAGGAAGACTTAGTATAAGTCATCTATTCAAGGGATTTCAAGGGGTCACCGATCTGCTCAATGAAAATTTGAAATCATACTATTCGTGTTATATTGGTTGTAAGACATAAAGCATGCATCAAATAGACATGACAAGTATGATATCCTCAGACACTCGATAAACATGTGACCGGTATCTACCGTTCATCTATTATATGAGTCATTATAGCAAAAACCCATTACAGTATGGAACACTCTGCACTCTTATCATTCTCAGAACATGCCGGAAATAGGCCATCACCTTTAGGGCCTAAATTCGGCCCATCCCAGCTTTTAGCCACTTCATGCCGTCCTTGACTTCTAAAGTTTCTTGGTATTGATTTCAGAGCGGCTCTTCTGCATCGATGTCCGATTTTACTGCGTTAATCTTGGGAGCAAGGGTGTCCCTTTTATCTTTAAATATACATGCAACAAACGCATCATGAGGACCTGCTTAACTACCCCTTCATCTCTGAACAAATCTAAGTCACTAATTAGTCCGTCATAATAAATTTTATTGGGAGAGCCTGATACGGAGTGGTAATTCTTAATCTACTTGTGAATTTACCACCCCTCTCCCCAATAGGGCTTTGATGAGACCTTGATACAATTTTGAGATATAATCAGAGGCCCGGGAGATAGTTTGACAAGTTCAATACGATTATTCAGTAGGGATTTGATGCGATGTTGTATGATAAGATTTTCCTGAAATTATGACCATCTCATCTCGTAGTCTTAATATTTTAATCTCAGAATTGACTAGGAATCCGCTGCCATTTAAATGGAGTCCGATACAAAATCGATTAGGAACTGTTTGAACGCTTCTATGTGGAGAGTCGTGATATTTGGCTGAAATAAAGACATGGGTCTATCTAGATCCTTCTGATTGGTCCGAAGTGTAGGCCTTCACGCACGGGTGTTGATAGCACTAGGGCCTCGCTACCTGCATTGGATAAGACTCTGTAGATGGCTTTGGGAGAGAATGAAGAGACAAGTAACCAACCATTATCTGCATGCTAGAAGATTCGGCCTGTATCAACATTGTCCGAAGCCTTTTTTTCGTAAATGTGTTGGAAAATGAAGTATAATCCGATTAGTAACGATTATCTTCATTACGTAAGGGTTCCCACCGCAATCCCTACATCCACTATTTACACTCTAGTCCCATCTCCCCTGTAGGATTTGCATAAACAGGTACTAGTGTGGCTCTACTTCTATGACAAGAGAACACAGCGCAAATGACAGCTCACTGCTCACTGGTTTACTTCATTATATTCTTGCGAAGTTTTTTATGGTCTTTATTGACACCTTTTTATATATAAATAAATAATCAATTCACTCTTCTCCGCTCTGCTTTAAGTGATCCTCTATCTCTATTCAATAAAATGAAGAACATTCGTGTCCCAGATGCAAAGTTGCATACAATGATTTACTCATTTGTGAGAACATATTGTCAATTATCCATCCTAGTACATCTATCGACACAAAGGGCAACGCTTTTTGTGCATAGATTTACCACATAGCTGCCGAGGCTGACGCTCACTGTCGAAAAATGAAGTAACCGATGGTAATTGCTAATAAGATTTCAGAGGAATCTGGAACATAAATTTCGTCGTCTATTTTGAAGCTTCTGGTATGCAAACTGCTAGTAAAGAATCTTTAATTCAGATTCACGTAGTATGGTCTCAACGTTAGAACGTGTGTGATAAAACTCTCGGCTGCTGTCACTACACGGTAAAATTGTGCTTGAGTCGAGTAAGAAAGGATAGAAACACTTTACACGTCTCGTGTCTAAAATTTCCCGCCTCTTGTTTTAATTGTGAGTTCAGGGTAACTAATTAGCTAATACCCGTTGTAAAATTTATTCGCCAATGGTGATAAGCTTGTGGTCTGATTGACTTCTATTGAAAAATTGTATATCTAACGGAGAGGAATGATATACAAGATAGAGATGTCAGTGCACTAAATTTTACCCAGCGCCGCTGTCACTCTAACCAAACGTGATCCCCGTGGACCACATATAACAAGACTTAAGCTGGGTGCGTGTCAAAAATTAACTCTGAAGGGCAAAACGACAAGTCTAATTCGAACGGAATCATGGAATGATGTAACCAGTTCATTCCTTTCATTTTTTTTAAATCCATTTTTTTCATTTAATACCATCTGTAAATCATGAGTCTGGATGGCAGGCTGTTATCCACTTACAATTTATCCTTTGAGCGCAGGATGCTATGATCTTGACGTTCATTTGTGTATTGTTATTCATGTAACTTACAATGGTGGGTGCTTTAGATCACGTCACAGTAGATGCACATTACTGTGGAACTAAACCATCGGCTGTTTAGTGTTTAATGCATATGTGGGTATTATAGACCCAACTAGAACTCGATAGAATAGAGATAATGGAATCAGCGAGAGATCGATGGACTGAGGGAGAACGAGATGGTCATTTCTCGTATGAGAGATTTAATATCACAAGGGAATGTTCTAGCACTAGGTTGTGGACAACACAGTAAGTCTGGAGCAAGATATAGGGAGGTCTCAACCTCCAATCATCCTTTGAAACCAAGTCTCCTTTATACGAGAATATAGATTCAAGTCTTACGTATCACGAGAACACACGCGACAGCGACTATAGAGACCTACTGTGAGCATAACTTCCCGAAGAGTATCCATCGTCCTGCTCCTATATAGCCTAGTTAAGATAACATCACGGGGTCTTACAATTTGAGCTTTGCGCGCGCAAAGCCTTTGATGTCGAGATCGCAGGCGACACTATAATCACCGCCGCGGTTGGATAGTGCGGTGGTACGTCATATTGGCCAGCTCCTCAAGTAAGGTCTGGGTAGCTCGGACACATATTCCACTTGAGAGAGAAGATCGCTGGTTCGAATCCGGCAAAACATGAATACGTTTCTCGTGGTGAAGTTTACATTGATGACGGAAGCATGCTCGGATAATCACGGAGAAAGGTCGACCGTTTGTGTAAGCAAACATACCTCGTAGTGGTATTTGCGGATGAAATCAAGAGCATGAGTGTCTCTAACGTCAAATGAAACACCCAATATATATACAAAGCACTGTTCATGTGTGACAGCTAGATAACTGCATAGCTTCACATATATTAAATGATTTAAAAAAAATAGCGTCTGTGCACTTGCCCATATGTTCCACCCTTTCCTGATGTGACAGCAAATATTTCTATCTCTTGACACCTAATAACTCTACCAATCCAACACAACAAGCGGCAGCCTCGATCGTGCTGATGTGGCAGGGCCGATTAGACCTGGTCATTGAGTGTGCTTCAGACGCACTCAGGGAAATAGTTCTGGGCGTTGCTTCATCCGTCCAGCAACAAAACATCACCAACGAGACAGCTTCAGACTGGGTCTCGCTCATAGTGGCACACGTTCCTCTACACGCCAGGACCCTTAAGAGTAGCATTTTAGTTACAAGTGAAATGGTTAAAACATAATATCTGTCGGTAAAAGGATCATATTTGGGCAGTATGAGTTGTTCAATCTATCTGCGGTGTTCAGTTTGTCGTTAGGACACAGACAGGGATCTGACTTAGCTCATTTTGTTTTTGCATCAGATTTTAATTGCGTATGCAGCTATCTAGCTTTGACACAATATCAAAGAAAAGTAAAGAATAGATGATTCAACTTAAAGGAAGAGCATTCATGCCTCAGATTTCATTTGCAAGTACCACTGCGAAGTTATGGTGGCTTTTTCTTCACCGCAAGTCAACCCTCATCCGTGAATACCCACCCAAGGGAACGTCTCAAAAACCCTGAGTTATCCAGACATGCCTCCATCATCCATTGGCTTTTCTCTGCGCAAAATGTGGTCTAAGGCGTCTCCTTCCCAAGTGGAGTAGGTGTCCTGGCTACTCAAATTATACCAGAGTACACTTTCCGTCGCTGGCTTGTGTTTATAGTGTCAGCTGCACTCTCGCAAGCGAATTATTGGCACGCACAAATCTCAAATTGTAGTACTCCTTTCTAAAATTCTATAGTTCACGTCCGTCGAGACTATGTACATCCTCTGCATACTCTGGTTATCTTTTCCTGTCTTCTCTCACGGTCATCCTTAAGAAATTTCTCTAAGATTTGTGCGCTAGTATCTGCGTTCCCCGCCAGATATAAACATTGGCGTGGTCGTGTATTGATGGTCAGCTGAGGCCAGAGAATAGTCGATGTGGAGTGTGGTCATTGACATGAGGATGTAATGAGTCGTACTTGTAAACTTGACGAGGTTTTGGTAGGGATCAATCTCGTTGGGAGTGAAATATTGACTTGGTCAAGAGTAGTGAATCATTGCCTCGTGGGCCAACTTGTTCGCTATTGTGAAATATGAGTGAACTTGGCTATAGGAGAATACTTCAATCACACGTTCACAGAGGACACCGCGTCCAGGTGTCCAGTCTTTGTCCTCCAGCAGCCCGAATTTTAACTGTAAATGCTAAGGGCGCATTTAAGATATGGTCTTGAATCTAGTTGTTTCGCTTGCCGTCAGACTTGGCGTTTCACTCGGACTCGGAGTTCGGAATCTCCACTGCAATCTATTCTAATAATGACAACTAAATTTGTAATATCTCGCCTGATCAAGCACACCAACATCACTTAACATAGTCTATTAACGCTGCAAGATCATATTACTAATTTCAGAGCAACGATCATATCTCAATTCATCAACCAAACGAAAGACCGTTCCTGCGGAACTCTTAGCGGACATTTTTGAAAGGCTTTAACCGCGATCTGGTTTATAGAAAATAAATTCTAAAATGGCAGAAAAAATGGCTAAATACCGAACTGAAATTCAACAGGTAATTTTATTTTTTTGCCTGCTTTTGACATCAGTAGAATATATATCCCCTATCAAATTTTGATGGGAACTAGTATGTGTACTGCACTTGGTTTACATAAGTCAAAATGAATACCCGGCTCCACAAGTATCAAGATAGTTCTTAATACCCCATTAATGGAACCAGATAGTGAGATCCATCCGGCGTAAGTGAAATACCTGGAAGGGTTTTCTTTAGCCCTTATCTAGTAATTATCAGGGCTATTAGCCATCTCTTTGATATTTTTTGCTATAATATTTCCAAATGATATTTCTATTACTCAGTCACCTTGCCATATTGTCATCTTAGAACATTTGATTTAAAGGCTGATAAATTCAATTGGCATAGATGATGTACGTGTCTGGGGAGACAACCGAGGCATCAGCGGAGACTACAGGCATGATTGAAGAAATTGTCCGACAGCAGGTCATAGAAATGGTAAGTCTTAAACTATAGCAATCAATAGATTGAAAGTCCCAAGGACTTTCATACCTATTGTGCTCAAGTATCTGGTGCATTGACTCTACAAGCTCCGGCAATGCACTGAACAAGCCTCACGCCGAGGTTCTCGATCTATATCAACAGATGATCTAATCTTCCTGATCAGACATGATCAGGCCAAGGTTTCACGACTTCGAACCTTCCTCTCCTGGAAAGATGTGCGAAAAAATGTGAAAGATTCTGATGACAAGGGAGGAGATGCGGATTTAGTTGCTGGTGATGAGCCGGTTGGAGCAGTAGCTGGAGGTCCAGTGGTCGATACAGCCAAAAAAAACAAAAAGGCTAAGGTTGGCCTACCGTGGGAAGTACCGTCCTTTTACAATCAAGAAGTACCTGAACGCGAAGATGAAGAAGATGAAGATGAAGAGGAAATGAATTACGCAACATTACAACGTCTTAAAAAGGCCGACGAACGTACTAAAGTTATGACCAAAGAAGAGTATGTGACCTGGTCAGAATATAGACAAGCGTCTTTCACATTTCGCAAGGGCAAGCGTTTTAAAGAGTGGGCAGGATTCGGCGTGGTGACCGACTCTAAGCCTAACGATGACATTGTCGATATTCTAGGATTCTTAACGTTCGAAATCGTTCAAACTTTGACCGAAGAAGCTCTCAAAATCAAGGAACAAGAAGATTTGGTCAAAGAGAAGATAGGTAGCGAACAGTCAGGTAAAAAGCGTAAGTTTCAAGGCTTATTCGAGCCGCCATCAGAAGGTCACACCACAGTTGAGCCACGACACATCCAAGAAGCTTTCCGTCGCCTCCAACATCGTCCAAACAAACAACGAGCAATGTGTAATTTTACGCGTGGTCTGAACCGCACGCCCCTAAAACTTGTAAGTTATTTAATACAGGATAAAAATTCTTAATGCTACAGAATCAACTCGTCTAACCATATTAGTTTTAATGCTTGAAAGTATCAGCAAGAACCACAAAAACAGGAAGTGGCAGGAAGGCAGCTCTAATTTAGAGATGAAAGAAGTAGATTAGCTTTGAGGAGAGAGTATCCAGAGGCGGGCAGAGGCTACATGCCTACGCGCACGTACCACATGTACTCACGATATCGTTCTTAGGGCCAGATCGAGGCGAGGCCGTAATTGTATGGAACTTGACCTGAAAATCATAACTTAATTTAAATCACCTGCTTATAATAACAGAGATTAAAAAATTATAAGCAGTTAAGTCCACGGAAGCTAAAATGAAGGTTAGTCAACACGAAAACACGAACTACTTTTGAAGACCAAATGTTAACTGCTTTCGTATAAAGCCACTATCGATACAAATCCACTTCTTTCAAAATCTACAATTCTTTTTATTCGCTGTCACGAAAACGACAACTACACGATTTTGCTAAGATATGAGTTACATAAAACTGAAAATACAGCGTAGGAATACGAATAATGTTGCTAACTCATTTATATGTCCTCTCACAATCTATGAATTCTCTTTTTCTAAATTTGGAATCACACTTTGTCATCTTGCATATCATCCCAAAATGAGTACTGCAACGAGATTTTCATTCTCTATTTAAAATTTGAAGTTCAATTTACCTGATATGTATAACCTATTCGAGCGCTTATCTAAGCAAGAGCACCCCCGGGCTCGAAGACACATCTAAAAATTCTACAATTCATCTTTGTCAGTCTAGAAATTTGCGTCCAAGTACCCAAAACTAGAGCAATAAATTGTAGTCTAATTTAAGAGATCCAAAGTATTTGTTATGGCAGAGTTAGGCAAGTCATCAAGTATCGGTCGATGAAATGAATAGAAGTACCATCACAAATAAAAGAAACTGGAATACGATGATCCTTATTGAAAGACTGGCGCATCACGAATCAAACGCGTGACACTATTAAATCTCGAATGAGACAAATGACACTAAAAACTTTATTTAATCAGAACCGTAAAGCAGGCTGAGTCATTGACATACACGTGACTGGAAATTATGCACTTATTTTTTAATCATTTAATGTGTATTCAGCTATAAAGTTATGACACATGACCGGTGCTATGTGTACATGTGGGATGACTTTTTTGACGATAGAGATACTCATACTCTGGATTTCATTCGCAAATACCACTGTGAGGTATGTTTGCTTACACAAACAGTCGAACCTCCTTCGTAAGTACCCAACAAAGGGACGTTTCAAAACCTCTGGTTATCCAAGCATGACTTTGTCATTCATATACACCAGCAACGCGAGAAAAGTGGTTGTGGTTTGCCGGATTTGAACCAGCGATCTTCTGTCTCAAGTGGGGTATGTGTCCAAGCTACCCAGACTCTACTTGGCAGAGCGGCCAAGACGATGTACCACCGCACCATCCAACCATGGCGGTGTTTATAGTGTCGCCTGCACTCTCGCAACCGAAGTCTCGGCGCGCACAAAGCTCAATTAGAAAAACTCCTTGGCAAAACTCGAAACTCCACGCCTGTCGAGACTGTATCCAACCTTCGCATCATCTTGTGAACTTGTCCTGAGTCCTCTCATGTCCATCCCAATGAAATGTCTCCCAGATTTGTGCGCCACGCTTTGCTTCCTCCGTCGGATGTAAATATCGGTGTGCGCGTGTATTTGGTGACCGGCTGGGGCCAGAGAAAGTCGACGAGAGGTGTGACCATTGGAATGAGGATGTACTAGGTCGTACTTGTGGACTTGATGAGGCTTAGGTAGGGTTCGATCTTTTTGGGAGTGAGAATTTGACGTGGTGGAGTAATTTGAATCATTGTCTCGTGAGCCAACTTGTTCGGTATTGCAAAATTTGACTGAACTTGGCTCTGGGAGAATATTTCACTCCCAGGTTCGTAGAGGACACGGCGTACAGGTGTTCAGTCTTGCCCTTCAAATTATGCACTTGTTTAGATGAGTAAGTGAGTAAAATTAATTCTACTTCTTATGACTATGACTATCTAACACACTGGGCTACTCTCTGTCCCAGGCCACTCCTTGTACCGTGCTCCTATCCTCTTTTGTTACTTGAAAGATTATTGATTTACTGCCCATGATGGATTACAATCAGCTCAGTGTTTACCCGTGGAATCCGGCCATGTTTTCCACGGAACCTTCTACTTAAAAAAAATGGTAGCAATGGAAACTGCGTACGCGGGAAAAAGTCTCAAAAAACCTGCAGCCCCAGCCAGGCTAGGCCTAGACACCGGGACCATATGAGGCGTGTATGTTCATCTATATCTCCCGTCTATGTAACATTCGCGGCCGACTTGATCCAATCCACCATCTCCGTATCGGGTGCTGGGTACGCTCCGGAAACTCATCGGATGGCTTTTCCTACGTGATCAAGGTTTGGTGACGAGTAGGGCTCCGACCCTACCATCTGATCTGATGGTGGTTAGCTTCATGATAATGGTGATAGTGGGTTGTGTTGAAGGATCAAGACGATACAGATCGCGAAAGCGATTGGGAATCCTCGTCGAAGTGAGGACTTTGTTACTCAACCTCGGCTCTGCAGACTCTAAAGCGAGAGCTGGAGGTTCGTAGGGGACACCACTGATAGGTGTTGAAAATAGTTCCCCTTGATCGACAAGATAATGGCACGTATTTCGAAGGCAAAGATCTTCACTAAGCTGGACATCCAACAAGCTTTCCACCCCATTAGAATGACTGAGAATTCTGAAGCTTATTCGATCTTCCGTACTAGATATAAAACGTACAAGTATAGGGTGCTACCCTTTGGTCTGACGAACGAACCAGCCACCTTCCAGCGTTTCATCAACGACATACTAATGGAGCATCTAGACGATTTATGCTGTGCTTACATGGATGAAATCTTAATATTTTCTGATAATCCCAAAGAGCATGAGATCCACGTCAAAATAATCATGCAAATTCTCATGGAACACGCCCTCGAAGCCAATATGAAAAATCCAGGTCGATATCACAAAGACAAAGCTCTTGGGGTTCATCATTGGAATTAAAGGTATCAAAGTCGACCTTGACAAGATCTTGGTTATTAAAAACTGAGAGTACGCTGCCAAAATTAGAGGCGTGCAAAGCTGCATGGGATTTTGCAACCTCTACCGACGTTTGATAAAGTATTATAGCGCCATTTTTCGCCCCCTCACACGCTTGACGGGCTAGGACGTTGTATTTAAATTCGATAAGAAATGCAAAGTAGCCTGAGAAACGATAAAATCAGCATTGAAGTCCACCCTGATCCTCAACCATTATGACCCGCAAAGGCAAACGCGTCTAGTGATAATTTCTTTGAATGGAATCGTCGCTGGTGTTCTTTCTCAACTGCAAGACAATGGTTATTTCCACCCCATGGGCTATTTCTCAAAGAATATGATTGATGCCAAGCTTAATTATCCGATCTATGATAAGGAACTCTAAGCAATTTTCTGATCCCTCCAGCAGTACCAGCCTAGGCTGTTAGATATCCAGCAAGACGTCCACATGTATACCAACCATGAGGTTTTGGAGTACTTTATGTTAACAAAAGTCCTCACGATTCGCCAAGCTCGCTGGGCAGTGTTCTTCGTCGAGTTTCATTTCACGATCATGTATCGCACAGGTAATACAAATACTCTCAGAGACAACCTCTCGTCGCGACCAAGAACTCACACCCATTGAGACCAAGAAGCAGCCATTCCGAAACTAAAAGATGATTCCGGACAACAAAATAGCCCCGGAAATCTTGGAAGAACTGCGAAACCCGACTGCCTCGATGACATCGACTCTTACAGCCTTAATAGATGCAGACAGCGAGGTTGCAACTGATAGTCCCGGATTAGCAGTCGACGTGGAAGCTAAATCACCTCCGGACCACTGTTTGTCGATGGTGGGCCACCGGACCCGGCCTCTATAGTAGCACACAATATCGGTGGATTCGACGTATTTAACCGGTTTATTAAAGCCAACAAAAATTTTCCTGACTTGGAACCTCTTCACGTGAAAGCTAGAGTGCACCACTTTTATTATGAGCTAAATCAAGGGAAACCCTACTTCTTAGGACGCCTGGAGATATCAATGGAACCTCCGGGCTGCGCACTTTCTTGGTTCGCCACGTGCATGCCCAATCGTGTATAGCACACGCCAAAGCCAACAAGGTAAAGTTACTACTTGATCAGAAGTACCACTAGTCTGGAATAGAGAATAATGTCGTCCGTTTTATTGCCAACTGCAGCTGCGATTGTTGTGATGCTGTTTCGGTTACACTACGACAAGTCAAGCGTAAGGAAGTATAGGTAGATTCCAGGCTACTGTTTCAGTCCCAAGGAATGTCTGATGCTTGCGCTGAGACACCCGAAGAGGTTCCTTGTTAATAATTATTACAGGGTAATGTCGTGTCGGGTCGTGACTAGTCGCTTGTCTCACGAACATACAACTGTCAAAGGAAGAAGCGCGTACAGAATGTCTAGTCATACGAACGTTGTAATGAAGGAGATATATGTAACTTTCTAGTGTCATGTGTGATTTGATCTAAACCTGTATATGGAGAATATGGCTAGTAGAAATATGGTTAAATGACTAAGGAACGGGTATTGAAATGATTATATATGGCCATGATCTGGATGATTGGAAAATGGAATATACGGAACACATATCACAACTAGTTTTACTCAATTATCTTCTAGATATTTTGTACCTTATCTTACATAACAACTCAAATATATTCACTTATAGAAGTTGTATCTTTTACACGACTTAGAAAACAATTGTCATCTTCGTCATCATACGATACCATAACTAAGCCAAATAGATGCGATAATCACAGTAACTGTACATATATCTCTTCCAAGTTTCAAGGATACAGTACATCTATGCGAGTACTACACTGCCCTATATGGCTATCATTACGATTGACTATTGAAGCGCAGCTCTACACAATGGCTTAAATTAATCTGGGCAAGTATAGCAGGAAACTGAGATTGTAGCACTCCATGCATAGACAGTGATGTATTGAATAGTGGGTATCAAATATGTAAATATGAGTCCTAGAATGTTGTTATATGTGGTCTATGGGGATTCCAATAGATTAGAGTGGCAGTTATGTTGGGTTATATCCAGTGCACAGACACCTCTATCTTGTACATAAGAAAGTTCTGCTCCTCAAAAGATACATATAGTATTCAATACACAACAAGCAGACCGTAAGGTTATCACATTCTGCGCACAATGCTAAACAGGAGCTTTGGCCCATTGAATATCGTAAGCTCATTATCACAACACAGACACCAACATGATATATAGAAAGATTACTACGAAGATCCGATAATCGTTATCCACTTTTCTCTGCTATCTCTAGCCTATTCAACGGTCCGTATCTACTCATACCATAATCACAATAGAGATCGCCAGGGGTCCCGACGGGTTAAGATACCTCATAGACCGTGCCAGCACTTGAAAATGGACTTGGTCCAGCTCCTAGTGCCAATGAATGTATTCGGAAGCTATTTCGAAACACTTCGTCATACCAATGAATGATGATATAGGCCAATTATATCTCATGGCGCATGTGCATAGTTTAGTGTTGCGCAGTCATGTTACATGATTACAGCAGATCCTACATGTCTTTGTTTAATGATAGACTCAATAGGACAATAAATTAACAAACACGCATACATACAAGCCCTTGTCTACTATTTCCTTCAGTTCAATCAAGCCCCGCGGAGAAGAAATCTTTACTTATATCTCTTGTGTGATTTTAGTGGCTGCAAAAAAACGTGGATATTAGAGGAATTTATTGAACCGACTTCGTTACACTATTTTCGATCGACAATATATCCCATGCTAAGAAGGAAGCAGATTCTAGTGCGTTTCCTTATTTTTATAGAGCTTCTTGAACCTTTTTCTTCCCAATCGATCGTTCTTATGTGACAACTCTACTGGAGGGTCCAGCTCTGCACAATCGACCCGTGAGCCAAAAGTTCCCCATGGCTTGCTCGCTGGAAGTCTACCGGTCAAGATCTTCCGCTTGTAATAATGCGGTCCATCCCTGCTGTGTGCCGCAGTCGAATCGATTTTGGAGATACTGGGGACGGCGTCTCCCCAAGGCCTTCTCAAGATTTTACTTTTCTTTACCAGGATGGTATCTTTTCCAACTTCTTCGTTAACTGTCGATAAATATTGGTAGATTGGTCTGCCACTATTCCATTCGTCCCCGATATCATCCAATAGAAACCAGACGTCTTTATCCGCACATTTTACAAATACGCGTAGGTGGCCTAGATACCAAGCCAACGCACGCCACCGATAGTTGCCGGGCCTTGGGAAGAAGTGTCCTCTCGTAACTAGTTTGCTCATTGGAATGGGTTTATCAGCCTCTATGAACATAGAGGCAGTGGACCTTGCTGGTGCGAAGCTACTGTACGTTCCGTGAATGGAAAGTTTATTTGTAGAGGCTAGGCTCGCTATTACTTTTTCCGTACATGAAGTTTCGCGGATTATCTCTGACATCTTCAGCGCATCATTCTTTTGTTTAGCTTTATTCCGAGCCCGAATTGATTCGTAGCAGCTTTCAAATTTTCTCTTTTTGATTCCAAATAATGAGTTTTTAGGTTCAGCCACTTGAGTCAGTCCGTCGACAATCCTAGCGATCATCTGAGAGAGCTCCAAATTTGGTGAGCAGTATAGCGCATTGTAAGTGCCAGGCAGCATGAACCGATTCACAGACATCATTATACCAGAGTCGTCGTCGGGCATCGGGAACCGACCGTTTGTTGGGGGGTCGTACACGCCGTAGTATCCGGTATCATACGGGTTGACGAGCACTAGGAGTTTAGTCGTCGATGACCACCAAGCTACCCGCAATAGTACGGCAAAGATGCATTGCATTTTGTTAGATGACGAATCCGTGTTGTTATGTCTAATGAGTAAGACAAGTCAATTCATTCTTGAAGGGGAAGCAGTTCCGGGATTGATGTAATCTAGAGAACTTGAATGATGCAATCCAGGGCTTTTCGGTGATACTGCGGCAGAAGAAATTGATCTTTCTTTGTCCCCAAAAGTGCAAAGGGATTTGAGAAAGTAATTGGGGATTTCGCGTGACGACTTTATAGTTCTAGTAATTTAGAATGCAGTCAATCTTGTGGATTCCTTACGACTCGCGCTGAATATGCTAGACATTATAGGGTAGAAATTAGAGGGACTAGGCACATACCGACAGTGCTAATATCGTTCCCCGGTAGGTAGTGGGTCATATATATAGACCCTTGAGCGCGGAGAGCTTTCTCAGGTACAGATAAGTGAAGTTTATGCAGACCGGTAAGGATTAAATCCTCATGCTAGGCGACATGCTCGAGCGAAGGAAGCCAATCGTCTTGTTCTGGGTATCATTGACTTCATCCAGTCAGTGGCCTCATGGAGCGGGGAGCCCATCCTGCCCTTCATACCGTAGACTCCGATGCGCCCGTGATTGGAACTTTGTGATTGTTTTCCTCACGGCTACGACGCAACAGCGACAGCTCTCATTACTATTATCCATATTTGTCCTAATTGAGTATACAACTGTGTAGGACAGACTATTTATATGCAAAGTTTCTTTTCCATTCTGATTGGAGTTTTCCTTCATTTAATGGTGCGATCCCCATTACCGGTTTACCATGGGGGTATTTTGTACCTTACAAAAGAAAGTTAAAAATAAAAACAACCAAGTCACACATTTCAAAATCATTTCCCTCCATATCTGTTACTGATATCATAGTCAAATTTCTATGATGCCTATTCTTTCAATTCTTGACTCACAGCGACAGCCCTCACTCGCCCTCATTTCGATCTTACCGCCTCCAAAGGTCTGATGGCAGAAATCACCCAAGATCTCTACCAAGGCGTTTTGGCTTGGTTATTATGGCGCTACTTGAGTCAACGACTATCCGGTATATTGAGCTCCAATCCCCTTCTAGCGAAAAAATATCTCTAATATGTTGCCCATCATAGATGGCCATTTATCGCAGTAATTACCCGTAGAATTCGACCTCTTTTGCTGGATTTTCTACTCCAAAAAATAGACACCGTATCACGGGACCAAGCGTCCGGAATGGCTTAGCAAGCTTGTCATGTAGAGACTTCCCGACCTTCATGTATACTATAATCTTTGAGCGCAGGATGATAAGATCCTGGCTATCATTTGCTTTGTTGGGTCTGTGTAGGCGCCAACACGTCTGGTAGTTTAATCTAGACTGGGCTAACCGGCACGTGACGAGCTCACGTGCTGTGCGCGGGCACGACGTTAAATATTGTAAATAAATAAATCAATCTAGAGACGTCCATGAACTCGATTGAGTTACAGCTGCTTATTCCACCGCACAGTAATTAACCTAAACATATCCAGATACTTCCCAGAATATGTAGAATGAAAACACCAGAGCAACAAGGGGTGTGCATATCCATCTATATCTCACTTCTTTGTAATAAGAGATGCCAACTTGTTGGAAATGGAGACACAGAGTGTAGTGGACGTACGGGCTTCCATTTCGTCTAGGTTTCCGAAACGATCTTATGTGTATTTAAGAGGTTGGAGTAGGTAATATGGTAGCGCTTTAGGCTACCTATTGGATATATGAGCGGCTGTATGGCGTGGGCGCGAGGAGGTTATTGGGGGTTTTCTATGCCTAGATGGCGCCACGCATGTTTATGCTGTGGCTTAGGCTCTGTGTCACTTACACTTGTACTTTTTTTTATCATTTAATCTGTATTCAGCTATAAAGCTATGACACATGACCGGTGCTATGTATACATGGGGGATGACTCTTTTGACGTTAGAGACACTCATACTCTGGATTTCATTCGCAAATACCACTGTGAGGTATGTTCGCTTACACTACAGTCGACCCTCCTCCGTTAGTACCCACCAAAGGGACGTTTCGCAAACTTTGGTTATCCAAGCATGACTTTGTCATCCGTGTGTACCAGCGCTGCGAGAACAGTGTTTGTGTTTTGCCGGATTTGAACCAGCGATCTACTGTCTCAAGTGGGGTATATGTCCAAGCTACCCAGACTCTACTTGGCAGAGCGGCCAAGACGATGTACCACCGCACCATCCAACCATAGCGATGTTTATAGTGTCGCCTGCACTCTCGTAACCGAAACCTTGGCACGCACAAAGCTCAATTTGTAAAAACTCCTTGGCAAAACTCGAAACTCCACGCCTGTCGAGACTGTATCCAACCTTCGCATCATCTTGTGAACTTGTCCTGAGTCCTCTCATGTCCATCCCAATGAAATGTCTCCCAGATTTGTGCGCCACGCTTTGCTTCCTCCGTCGGGTGTAGATATCGGCGTGGGCGTATATTTCGTGACCGGCTGGGGCCAGAGAAAGTCGATGAGAGGTGTGATCATTGGGATAAGGATGTACTTGGTCGTACTTGTGGACTTGATGAGGCTCAGGTAGGATTCGAACTCATTGGGACTGAAAAATCGATATAGTGGAGTATTTTAAATCATTGCCTTGTAGGCCAACTTCTTTGGTTTTGCCAAATTTGACTGAACTTGGCTCAGGGACAATATTTCACTCCCAGGTTCGTAGAGGGCACCGCGTACAGGTGTTCAGTCTTGCCCTCCGATCTCGAGACTCAATACTAACAAAATGAAAAAAATATAATTTTTATATCCGGCGCTCTACTCCGCGCCAGAATCCCCATATATGATCCACCAATAGATCAAATCCTGCTTTGACACTTTGACTTGCGCTAATCGTTGCTGTACGGACCGAAATCATTTCCTCAAATTTTAATCCATCAAAGCAAACGCGGTGTGTCCTACATTCAAAGAATCGGTGGCGGTTTCCGAAATCTTAGCCTTAGCGCCTAGGAATGCCCAAATTTCAAAAACTCACGAAATTTGTCAGCCCCAGCATGCCCGCGAGAGATCTCTGTCCCCTGTTGTCGGAATACTCGGGTGGTTTTTATATCACAAGCTTTCTGTAGCAGTAATAACAATGGGTGGATAACATATATCTTCTCTTTCTTCAAACCTAACTAAATGAAACGCGTATATACAGCAGTTGTCCCTCTCTCCTAACGCCATTCCTAAACAGGTAACTCATTACTCATCAACACAATTAGTCATCATTTCTAAGAAATTACATGAAAGGTGAGTAAGTCATTAGGTCATTCGACACCTATCATTCCACGTCCTAGTCACATCTCCCCCTTCACGTTGTATAGCAACATTAGAGCAAAACCCCTCACAAGCTAGACCCTAGGAATTTTATGTGCTGACATATTTTCCTCCTTGTAGGTATAGGTAGCATCGTAATTTTGAATTGGGAGATTGCCAGTAATTGATGAGTCAAGATTCCGTTTGCCAATGAAGCAACTTCTCAACCAGTTCATGAGACGAGATGTATTGTGGTGAGAATCAGCTGGAGGACTTGTATAATAATGGTGGAGCCGACGTTGATGAGAAGTTGTCAGTGATAGATATGTTTAGGTTTGCTTTTGCCTTAGATTCGAATGCAAATCCCCTTGAATATCCCAGATATACAAGGCATACTGTATGATTATGCTGGCACCGCTGGAAGGTGAAGAAATTGTCTTTGCCTGCTCCCGTTGTAAATGGGCGAGGTCAACGGTCGCTGCACGCGAGCAATGATACAAAATAATCTATATTCATATGCAGGAGAAATCTACTCAGTGGGTATATGCCAGGGCTGGATGGTGCAATGGTATACAGTCCGGACTTTTCTCACAAGCAGAATCAGGGCAACTTGGACACCCACCTTATTAGCTAAAATTGGAAGCTGGTTCGAGTCCCGGAACACCTGCTTAGCACACTTTGTCGCATTGTTGTAGTATTTGTGAGATCTTGAAGTCACTATCAGACAACCGCGGGGTTATCACGCTTTTCCCTATGGTGCGTATGGTAATATTCTCCTCTTGTTATCGATCCGTACAAACATACCGTATATTTCTAACTCATAGATTCTCAGCATTGCGATAAATAACAGATATATATGGTGTTTATGGCAGTCAGGGATTGATATCATGGACAGGGATAAGGCACATGTACATACATAACGCGCACTCGACTCTTTAATATGATGATGCTTCCGACTACATTCACAATACTTATACCTATCCTGGGCTAGTCACCCCTTTTTATATATTGCTCTTATCTCCTAACTTGTATCTTTTTGCCCTTATATCTTAGACTACAGGTCATGTTCTATGTTGAAAATAAACTAAGAATACGCAGAAATCTCCGAGTGATCTCGGAGAAAAACGAGGTATAAACTTCAAAGGGTATCCGTAGATATCAATTATATTTATAGTCAAGGCTTTATCGAATCTCTTAATAACTACCAAAGGATATGAGACTGTTTATATACATTGATGTCTAGCAATGACATGGGCTAGAATGTAATGTCTCATTACGAGATACAACGGAACAAGCTACAGATCTGATACCAGTTACGCGTATTCTCGTCGCAGTCTCGAATATCAGATGTGGCAAAAGATAATGGTGTAACTATTAGCGGATAGGAGACACCCGACAATCTTGACGGACACATACTGAAACCACAAGCACGGGGAGTGTCTACGTTGGTTTCGCAACATTGTACTTCCTCTTACTGGCAATCATCAGGCTCATAATTATGGACAGAGTAAATCTTTAACAGATTATGTGTAGTGTGGAGTAGATTGGTTTGCAAAAGCTTGTGGCTGTTAGGCACAGATTTTTTTTTGCATCAGGTTAGGCACAGATTATATCTCTTGGTTAAGCGAGTGGGAAAGTAGAGGAGTCTGTAAATCTATCGTGGAGAGTTGTGAATTACTCCCACTAGGACACAGAGTGCTATATAAACGGTATTCTGTAACAACAAAATCTAGTAGTTGGTATTTACTTCAAAGCGCATTAATACTAACCTCACAATTAATGGGAGTGTAGTGACGTTTATCGTACACATCCTTGTCTTTGCCATAATTGGAAGCACCAATTTCAACACATGGAAGTGGTTACAAGCCGTGAAGGTTGACTGCGGGTTGTATCTGTAAATGAAATCTGTGTATGAATGTTCCAAGCGTCAAGACGAGCATCCTATATGGTACACACAACTTCCGGGAATACCTGCGTGGGACTTGAGGCGCCTAGTCTTTTTTGCATCAGATCTCAATTTCGTGTGCAGCTATCTAGCTATGACACAATATCAGAGAAAAGAACATATTAGGTGACTCAGTTTAATAGAAGTGCGCTAATGCCTCAGATTTCACTCGCAAGTGCCGCTAAAAAGTTACAGCGATTTTTTCTCCCTCCAAATCAACCCTCATCCATGAATATCCGCCCAGGGAAACGTCTCAAAAACCCCGAGCTATCCTGATATGCCTCCATTATTCATTTACTTGTCTTCGCGCGAAATATGCTTTGTGGCTACTCTTTCCCAGGTGGAGTAGGTGCCCAGGCTATTCAAGCTATACCGGAGAACACCACCAGGAGGTGGACCACAACACCTTCCATCGTTTGCTTCTTTTTATAGTGTCAGCTGCACTCTCGCAACCGAAGTCTTGGCACACACAATTTTCTTCAATTTATGAATAGAATAGAATTAAATTTAAGTCCCTACTGAGTCTATGACTATGAAGGACTGCTAAAAGTAGACATAAAACCACCAAAATTCTCTTTTTTTGATAAATACTATTTTTTCAATCTTTTCCAATAGAAAACTTCAATTTATGAAACTCTTTTCCAAAAATTACAAATCTCCCACCCATCAAGATTACATGCATCCTTTGCATCATCTTGTTAACTTGTCCTGAATCCTCTCACGTCCATCCCAAAAAAATTGCCACCCGGATCAATGTGCCACTATCAGTTACCTACAGCGGGTACAAATAACAGCGTGGTCGTATATTTGGTGGCTAGCTGAGGTCACAGAAAGTCTACGAGAGGTGTAGTCATTGAGATGAGGATGTACTAAGTCGTACCTGCTGAACAGATGAAGTGTTCATGGTAATCAATCTGGTTTGGAGCAATGAATTGATACGGTAGGCGGCTTTGAATCATTTCGAAGTGAGCCAACCTGTTTGGTATTGCGAAATATGACTGAGTATGGCTCAGGGAGAATATCGCACCCTAAGGTTCGCAAAGAACGACGTAGACAGGATTTTAGTCTTCACCGTCTATATCAGACTGTGTGAGTGGTATTTAATGCATATTTTTCTCCACGCTAAACCTATCAGTGGAGATATCTGAATGGTCACCACGGAGCGTCAAGACTAGTTAGATGAGTTGTTCAACGGATCATGCAAAAATATTGAGTCTAACATATGTGAACATCTCTGCTTACTTTCACACTCTAAATCACAGTGAGCACAGTACTTTCTCATACCTTACAACCGAAGCTAAAAATCGCTCGGAGAAAATCTGCAAATAGCGTAATTTTGGGTCAAAATCCATCTAGCTCATCCCTACTATATTTAGACACGAGCTAAGCGAGCTCTGGTTTGAAGAAAATGCGGAGAAAGCCCGCATAATCAGATCCGATGATAACGCAATCCCTTCCCCTCCCCAAACATTACCTTGCCAAATTACATACCAACAGCTTAGACGTCCCATGATCTATAAGGCCTCAAATAGAAAATTAGACTTAACAGTCCATTCGTAGAGGAACAGCCGACTCCTAAGTCTAGTCTGATTCTTAATGTTTTCATCTGCAGATCCAACCACAATGGTCGCATCTGCACATCCTACATTGGCCATCAAACAATCGAACCAGCACCTAAGCCCTATGAGCCCAGCAGCCGAATTTTCTACCATGGGCCTAGTCACACGAAAAGAGTGGGTGATTCCGCCGCGTCCAAAGCCAGGGCGAAAGCCAGCCACAGACACGCCACCTACCAAACGAAAGGCCCAGAATCGAGCAGCACAGCGTGCATTCAGAGAAAGACGTGCTGCCAGAGTTGGAGAGCTAGAAGAACAACTTGAAGAGTCAAAGGAGGAACAAAAACAACGTGAAGCAGACCTAAGGAGCAAGATTCAACAACTCGAAGCTGATGTGAGACGCTTCCGTGGAGAGCTCAACTCTTGGAGGCTACGATGTGAAAATCTAGACAAAATTGCTCAACATGAAAAAAGAGAAAAAAATATCGCTCTTGCGGAGTTGGATTTCATCCAAAAGAGCTACCCACTGTCAAACATTACCAGCTCAGCTACATCTCATTTAAATCACACAAAGAACATAACGTCTCTGCTGCCGGAGAGAGTTTCTAGCTCTGAGGCCTCGACCCAAACCGAAACTAGAGCTATGAAGTCGAGCTCTACTAGCACAGAAACTGCTTGTGCTGAGAGAATTGTATCTCCTGCCTCCTCAGGATGCTGTGGCACACCATCTATGTGCTTAAATTCTCTAGCAGAGGAGGACGATGAGCCCACAAAATCGCATATGCCAATTGAGTATAAAAGATCATATTCACCGGATGTAGTTAAGGTCCCTGAAAAAAGAATGCGTCAGTCTGTGCCCTCCACCGAGATGGAGACTGATTTCACGAATCAATTCACTACCAAAGTAACGCCTATCGAAAATCAACCATCCTTACAAATACCAATGATCGAATCTTGCGGGTTTTGTAATGATGCAACATTTTGTATTTGTGCTGAGGCCGTCGATGCTCCTTCCCTGAGTAACAGTGACCGTGAGAGCTGGCCTCAGCCATTTCAGAATACCACTTTTCCTGAGCCGCAGATAGATGCCAACGCAAATTTCATCAAGCTACCGGCACTCCAAGCATTTTCTGTAGATCACTTACACAGCACAGAAAAGAAAAGCCCACGTAAAAATGGTCCAGGATCATGTCAACAATGCCAACTAGATCCGCGGTCAGGAGAATTTTGCCGTTCACTCTCAGAATTACGCGGTGTAAACTCTAAAATTCAAATAGAATGTTGCGGCAACAAAAGTAGTGAAGACTGTTGTAAAGTTTTATCAAACATGGAGCCCACAGAACTCACGCCTAGGTTATCATGCGCAGATGTATACAAAACTCTTTCAAGTCACAGAAACTTTGATCAAGCAAATAACGAGCAGGATACTTGGCTTGGAAAGCTACATGCTTTGCCTCCTGTTCATCCAAGCCGGGCCCCCATTGAAGTTGAAGCTGCGAGTGTGATGGGGGTTTTGAAGCTTTTCGATAGACGTTTTGGAAGGGGCTGAAGAGGCTCATCTAAGGTCTTTTGTTAATTTCAAGAACGCAATTGAATATCATTACAAGCCTATCCTTCTGGGCATACCGAAGTCGTTTAGAAACCAAAAAATAAATATTTAGTCAGCGTAAAGATGTAGATATAATTCGACTGACAGAAGTTTTAAGTCTTTATTCTTGTTTAATGATAAATCTAAAAGTTTACTGAGCAGCCGAATAACTTGTCTCGACGAATCCCTAGACGCTTTGTTAACGATGCATACTATATCAACATAGAACAAGCATCACATAACGATTCGTGTTTCAGTGTTATCATAATACAAGTTTTAGAAATGACATATCTGGTTAGGTGGATCAGTAGCCTGAGTGTAGAATTCTATGTGAAGGTTGAATTTATATGCGGATGTAGTGCAATAAAATGCTATGAGCCTAGATCGGATTAGGAAAAGCCATCTCTTGTAATTTACGAATGGCATCTTGGTTTTGAAATCAAACAAGAAATTGATAAATATCTACTCCGCCTGTCTTTTTTAAAATCATTTGATTTTGATATGATTTCATTATCCTGATTTGGCGCCCTATGGGCCCATGCAGGTGTCTATCATACTTTCTAATTTATATGGGAGGAAACCTTTTGGTGAAAACCCCCCAAACCTTCAGGTTTAATTTCTGTTTTTCTAATGTATCCTTTAGGAAGCGCAGTTATACTGTAGTGCCCTCCATGTAAATCAATCACATCGGCTTTATCGACCTGAAAAGGCATGAATTGTTAGTTTCCCTCAGCAGCACTTCGACCGCCTTTGTCATCTGGAATTGTTCTATCCAACCATGACTTAGAATCCACTGTGTTGTCATTTTGATGTCCACAGATCTCTCCTCTTCCAATTGACCATCGAGGGCAGGACATAATCATGTGCTTGAGGTTCTGCGATTGGTAGCCACATGGAAAGCTTGGACTGTAGGCTTCGTGTACTTTCCTTCTTCACAAATACGGGTTGAGCTCCATGTGCTCACTTCGAATTTACATCGCTAGACTGCTTTGAGCCCTTTGATATTAATTCAGCCATATAATTATGATACTTTGAATGGATTATTTCAAATTTAAGTCTCAAATGGGTACTAGACTACGAAGGACGGCTATGTGTATATTTTCGATGACTCTGTTGATAAAGAGGCTCTTACTCTAGATCTCATGTGCAATACTACTGAGGTATTCTTGATTACACAAAACAGTAGACCATCCTCAGTGAGTACTCATCAAAGGGAATTTCAAAGCCTTTGATTATCCAAGCATGCCTTTGTCATGCATGCATGCAAGCAACGCAAAAATGGGGTGAAGCCTCGCTGAATTTAAGCAAAAGATCTCTTGTGTTCAGTAGGACATATATCTATGCTATCCAAATTACTCTCGGGGAAACCAGCCTAGATAATATACCACTGCATCATCTAGACAAGGATATGTTTAAAGTGTTACAGGCACTCGCAATCGAAGTCGTGCAGCGCACAATTCCTAATTTGAAAAACTCCATTCTAAAAATCGAAATATCAACATTCGAAGGTTGTTTTCATTCTTAATGTAGTTTTTTCCACCTACCCCAATCTCTCTCGCCTCAATTCCAGAGATCTGAATCCCATATTTGTACACCAAACTTTGTTTCCTCTGTCGGGTATTCACATCCATGTAGATGTGTAAATTGAGGCCTTTAAGGTCAAATAATGAGTCAGTGAAAGGTAAGGTCTTTGAAGTGAGGATGTACTAGGTCGTACTTGCGGATTAAATAAGTCTTCGACGGGAATCAGCCTCGTTAGGAGCGAGGAATTGAAATGACCGGAAGTCTTGAATTGTTGCCTCCTGGTCTAACTTCCTGAGTATTGAATATTTGATTGAGCTTGACTCTTGGAGAATATTTCGCTCCCAGGTTCAAAAAAGACACCACTGGTAAGCGTTTAGTCTCCGTCCTTCTAATCCGTCAGCCATGAGGCCGTGGAGCGTATCCAGCTGTAGTTAATTAGCACAATGAAACAATGCTCGTAATTTTCAGTGGTTCAGGTCAACAGTAATCTATGTAGTGGCCGTTGCTAATCTTACTTCTGGCACAAAGACATCTTTCGACGTATAATATATATGTGATTGATAATTAAGATCTTCCACACGGGGGATATTCGTTGTTAATTATATTTTGCAAATTTCATCGCCAAGTGGTAATTGATTTATTTGCTTTTTAGTCAATACGTGGTGAGCTAAGTTCAACTGGCTATGTGGGATTCGAAGGTTGAATAAGATGAAATAAGATGAAATAAGTGCTCAATTTGGACAGAGATTTGAGCCATGCTACTCTGGATGTCCTAATCATTTTATGTAGTGTACGATTTCTAAATGGAGTGCTTTTCGTGTGTCGCGCAGTTTGTCTCGACACATCTTCTCGATTAGATTAGCGTACAATTGATACCTAGGTGTGGGCAGGCTAACCTTTCATATCGCGTGCATGCTCTAAGCCGTACTGATCGCAGTACATGCCAACCATACAACGGTTTACATCAATGCCGCTCCAAAGACCATATTCTCTCTTACGAAACACCAGGATTTGTGTTGGGAAACATGGGAGTGTACTGGAGAGATTAGGAGAAGCTTCTATATTACACGCGATCAAATTCAACCCTTCAGGATTGCTGCTAGTGCGGCATGCATCACATAACCAGCAAAGCAGTCATCACCAAAAAAAAGATGGGCCGGGAAAGCGATTAGGCGCAAAGAAATCAGGTGGTGAGGATAATTAACAATTCTTTGTTTTGGCTCCAGTAATAATCAAGAATCTAGAGGAGCACGTAATCCCCGGAAATATAATATTTCGACAACGAGGTACTCACTGGTTTCCTGGAGAGAATGCTGGAATGGGCCGCGATCATACCATATTTTCCAAAGTAGACGGCTATGTGAAGTATTACAAAGACCCCCTAAAGCATCCCAAGCGTCAGTATATTGGTGTAGCTTTCGAGCGCGACCACGTTTTACCTTACCCGCCTACTGCACCACGTCACCGACGTCTTAACATGATCACGGAAAAACTGGAGCCAGCAGAACTCGAACAGCTTATTGGGTCGAAAAATACTGACTCTGAAACGGACATACTGCCGGCGCGCAAGCAAAAGGAGCGACGTGGCGAAGAAGGCCGGAATCTTACTCTAAGACCTGGCTACATGTATCGTGAACCAAACTGGAAAATCGGGCTGGCAGCTGAAAGAGCTCGCATCAATGTTGTCAAATTCAAACCACGGAATCGCTGGCTCGCATGGCAGAAGACAGTCATACGAAAGGCAAAGAATGCGGAAAAGCGAGCTGGTCGCTCCAAAAAGACTAAACCTAAAGCCAAAGTCAAGGCTAAAAGCTAGCAAAGAAACTCTTAATTAAACAATTCAATTATATTCCACGATTTTCACCTAGAAATTCTCCTTGTAAACATTAAGTCCTACCACCATAGACCAAGGTTTATCTCCAGTAACAGCTGTTACCGAACTTATCATCTGCATGCATCACAAGCCTTCTTAATACGCTGGAAATTGGTTAACATTTATATTTCGGGCCTCTATTCTTGTTTCAGTTATCACTTGACTCAGTTCGTGAACAGATCGCGCTTTTACTTCTAATGAGTCATCTAAGAGATCTTACAATTTGCTTCCGGAATTGTATGAAATTTCTACCGCCCTGATGTCATCTCAGGCGCCAATAACGATAGAGAAGGGGAGTAAATTTAAAAATATGGTGCCTTGCTAAAAAGGCCATGCTTCAATATCAAAGCAATTTACTGATGGTCCAAACATCACTAATGACTTTCTAGAGCATAAAATGCCTCGTAACAAATACGTGTAGGCACCTTTGAGTTTCTAATGTAGCAAATTGGACCATGTGATCGTAGTTATGTGATATTCAACAGAATCTCCCTGTGAAGTTCGAAAGTAAAGCTTGTACTAGTCGATTCTTGATTTGAAGGCTAGTTTCTGGCTAATCATCTGTTTCATACAGCATCAAAGCGTATCAGTAAATAGTGCGCTTCAAACCAACGGCACGAATCTGAAAAATGCGGCTTGTAATATTTTCAGGTTGCAAATCAACAGGCGGAACCCACCTTAACCGATGTAAGCCTCAGAGACATGGCGTATATATAATAACATTCAACAAATAGGCTTTAATGACAAGCGCATCATTTTGCCAACTTTACTTCGCTTTCATGTTTTCCTTCACTCGCTAGCTGATATTCCATTTTTGGATTATTTTTTTGCACCAGATTTACATTTCGTATGCAGCTGTCTAGCTATGACACATTATCAGAGAAAAAGCACAAAACAGATCACGCAATTTAAAAGAACATCAATGCTTCGGATTTCATTTGCAAGTATCGCAGGGGTTTTACGCCTCCTGTGGGGCATCTTATCGTCCTGTAACGATCAAAGATCTGGAAATTGATTTGGAAGATATGCAAAAATTGCTAGAGAAAGTGGTGTGTGTCTCGGTGCTAAGGATACCTATATTTATTTATTTATTTATATTAACGTCGTGCCTGCGCACAACACAGTGCTTTAAAGCCCCATGCCGGTTAGCTCAGCCTATAAAGGGCTACCCGACGCACCGGCATTCCCATAACAAAAACCCGATAAAGACCCCACTGCTTCCGGTCCGCATAGTCGCCAGATCAGTGAGACTCTTCTTAAATTGATATAAATTATATAATTAAAAGCGGAACTTAAACTACATGTGAATATTCGTATTTAGATAGCGTTGGTGTCTAAGTAATCAGGGCTGTCCTACAAATGTAGGTGCAAACAGAGCTTCCCCCATTGATGGTACCTTTGAAACTCTTCGAAAAAATAGAGTGGACTTAAGCCAGTCTCGGAACAAGATAGCTCCTTCTGGTGAGCTTAAAATCCAGCGAGCGTCTGGGGGACGGGGGCGATTGGCTCCACGAAGCCGCGCCTGTAGTAGGCCATGTTGACAGGTCATGAAATGCTCCGGCGATTTATCATGTCCACAGGAGCATGTTAAAGGTGCGCTGTTGTGTGCGAAACGACAGTGGTATGCTGCAAAATCACCATGGCCAGACCGCGCAGCGAGAAGAAGGCCAAGGGACCGGCGATCCACACTAGCGAGCTCTGGGGTGATGCGGGAGCTTGGCCCGATTCTGAGCGCTCTATACCGGTCAGGGGCATTTCGCGACCAGTATTCCGACGCAGAGGCCTCGTAGCGAAGAATGACAATTCTCCTTGCTCTGGCAATGGAAGGGGCCAGGTTGGGGGCGGTTATAGTACAGGCCGCTTTGGCGAGAGCATTTGCCTTTACATTTCCAGGGATTCCTGAATGCGCTGGGCACCAGCGTACAGAGATCCTTCCTGGCTCAGTGTATCTGGCACAGTTCCTTGAAGGCCAGGATCTTGCTAGATCCCGAAATTTTGCGATCCGAGTCGAGCTGGATGGGGTCGGCGGTCCAAGGAGTAAGCGAGACGCTGCCTCTTGGTTGTCGAGACAGACAGTGATATTGGTGGCGTAGTATGCCATTGGGTTTCTAATTGCAGCTGCGAGGCCTTCCATGGCCCCGACGACTTCTGCATCATATACTTCTGCTGATTGACCTAGAGGAACAGAGCCTTGATCAATCACATGTTTTGCGCCGCGATAAATGCAGTACCCTACCCCTGCTGAGCCTTCCATCAGAGCTCCGTCTGAGAAAACGAAGAGGTCCAGGGGCGGTGCTGAGGAATGCCATTGGGTGAAGACTTGGAGCCCTGCTTCACGACCAACTGCTCCAATTGCTGCGAGTATTTCGTCTCTTTTTGGTGTCCAGGGAGGTGAAGTCGTGTTCAATGATAGTTCTGGGGAAATTCTGCGCCAAATCCAAGCCATTCTCGGAGATTTCCAGCGCAGTCGCAAGGGATGTTGGGGATCTGACGAGGCAACTCGCACTGCAAGCCGGTTGTGGATACGTTCGAGCCACCCCTGAGCTGATGACCATCCAGTTTCCCGCAGAAGGGCGGCCACTGGAGTGGTTTTGTATACTGGCAGTGCTGCACGGGCTGCATCGTTTATCCTGCGTTGAATACGGGCAATATCTTCTTTGCAGGTATTTGCTGAGAACCAGGTTTCGGCTCCGTAGAAAAGGGTTGTAAACGCTGCCCCTTGTAAAGCCTGTCTGGCTAGAGCTGGTCGGATACCTCGAGCGGTATTGCAGAGGCTTTTTATGTGCGCTGTGACGGCCGTAACTCTACCGCAAGCTTGCTTAATATGGTGGCGAAATTTCAAGCGGCGATCAAAGTGGACTCCCAGCCAACGAGTTTGGTCGTTAGGCCTGATCTCGACGCTGTCTACCCGGAGGCTTGGCTCAAAGGGTTTCCCCTTTTTCCGGTGGAAATATTGGAGCTCAGTCTTTGTTATCTCTAGCTCGATTCCGTTAAGACTTCCCCAAGCAAGTACGTTGGTCAGCTTTTCTTGGAGGCGAGCTGCGCATTCAGGTAGAGATGGTGCGGAAGCAAAAATTGCCACATCATCAGCATAGCCGAAGCATCCTGGCGAGAGGCGCAGCATGCCCTCGATAGCCAGGAGGAACAAAATAGGTGAGACCGGTGATCCCTGTGGGAGGCCGCATTTTATGGCGAAGGGTGGAGTTGCTGTCCCGTCCAATGTGACTACGCCCTCGCGATTTTCCATGAATGATGCAACCCACTTGATAAGATTGTGGGGCCAGCCTTGAGTACGGAGATTATGGCAGAGACGTCCTCGCTGGATGCCATCAAATGCACCTTTAACATCTACTGTTACTATACCTGCAACCTTCTTCTCTAACCAGGCGGACTGGATGTCAGAGGCGAGGGCTGTGGTCAGATCCGTTGCTGACCGGTGAGGAACAGCGCTGCACTGGTTCTTTGCAAGGATATTTTGTGAGAGGGCAAGGAAAGAGAGACGTCGGGCCATCAGGCGTTCCAGCCCCTTCCCAAGGCACGACAGCAAAGCAATTGGTCGGTAAGACTTGGGAATAGCTTTGTTTCGGTTGCCTGTCTTCGGGAGACATGTTATGCTGGCCTTTTTAAAGGCATTTGGGTGTAGTCCTTGCAGGTCGCACAGACTGAACAAATCGGTCACTCGGGGCCCTAAAACTGGCCACGCTTGTCTTAGCGCTTCTGCGGTTATCTCGTCTAGTCCGGGGGACGATGAGGAGACTACGCAGCACGATCTGAAGATTTTCTGGTTAGTTAGTGCAGGCCAGGGGAGACTTCTTCTTGCAACAGTTGGAATTCCCATGACTATATCCTCATGCTCGATGTGCCTACTCAGTAGAGCCCCCTGAAGTAGTTGTGCCTTGGCCATGGGAGTGAAGACGAGTCCGTCTGGGCCATTGAGTGGAGGGGTATGAAAACAGGGTGTTTTCTTATGCCAGCTTGTAACCCTATACGCTTCTGTGAGACAAGAGACCTGATCTACTTTCTCGCGCCACATTTCTCGCTTAGCTTTTTTCACCGCCTTGCCAAAGGCGCGGCGTTCAGCGATGGCCACTGATCCCGAGCGCTTGGCTTGGCAGAGTGCGTTGTGCGCGTTTGTACAGTCCCTGGTCCACCATCGATTTCGCGGTCCCTGTGTACGTTTTCTGGGACACGTAGCGTTGAGAGCACCTTGGAGAGCATCTACCAGGAAAGAAGCTTCTCTCTCTGGGTCTGAAGAGGGTGCGGCCACTAGTCTGTCGGAGATAATTTTACGGAAGGTGACCCAGTTGCAAGCAGAGTATCTGAGTTTTCCAGAGGTATCTCTTTCAGGTCCTGTGTCTGAAAGTTGAGTTAGTAGAGTTCTGTGGTCTGACCCGACTTCCAAGTCGTTTCGGATAGCACAAGATGCGTTGAGACTATGTCGTGCGAAGCAAAGATCGATAGTAGCGCCGGCATCTGTAAGAGTTGTGAACTGTTCTAAGCATGCGCTCGCCTAATCATACTCATCTTAATCTGGTTAGGCTCGGCTGATAATCTTCCGGCCTCGGCACACAGTTTGTATGATAATTTCGTGTACAGAGAAAGTTTCTTTTTAGATTAAATATAGCTCATGATTCAGACCCAACTATATCATTCTTAGCTTTCCTCTGACATTATATTTAATCTCACTAACACTTACAAACCCTCATCGGAAATCTAACAGTATCGAGCAACAGTTATATCGAAACGAAACGAACGAACGAACAGACAGAGTAACGAAACGAAGCGAAGCGAAGAATAAAATATTGTACCAAAGTTTAATCAAGATGAGTGACCAAGGTCATAGTTCAAATCAACCTTTACAACCAGAAGGATTGGCTGGAAATTAAATTTGTACATTGCAGGAACTCACTACTTCACTCCAAAGAACTCAGGAAGAGCAAGCG